GGAATACTCTGTTACAGTAAAAGTCCTGCAATTAAACTGTAGTAAAACTAGAAAAGTATTATCATCAAAATATAGTTAAAGTAGCGAAAGTAAAAGTAGTCATTGTGCAGATTGGTCCCTTTCAGAATAATATATATGATATGTTTTATAATGATTGATCATGAAAGTGTTCTCAAAGCTGGTAAAGGTGCAGCTAGTTTGAATGACTTTGTATAGTGCAGTCCAGTGCAGGGTAGCTTGTGAATTTACTCCAGGTGGAACTAAAGTCTGATTCAACACTTGATTATATTTCACATCATTCATCCACATCTGTGAAGTAACTAAAGGGATTAAATACATGTAGTGGAGTAAAAGTACACAATGTACCTCTGAATTGAAGTGTGGTAGAACAGAACAAAGTAGTATAAAACTGAAATACTGAAGTAAAGTACAAGTACCCCAAAATGTACTTAAGTACAGTACTTGAGTAAATGTACTTAGTTACTTTACACCGCTGTGTAAATGTAACAACTCTTTGAGTTTTGATTATAAAATAAAGTATCTGTCTGTAACACAAAGCACCTGCATGTTTGACAGCTGCTTGCCTCACAAAACTAATTTAATGTATAGATTTAGCATTCCACCTCCTATGTAAGTAGGATGTGTATGCATATACGACGTTGCAGAAATGGGACAACGACAATGGGGATTTGTGCCTTTTTGTTTCTGTAAATGCTCGGTTATATCCAAAGAATATAAACCTTCTCGAAAAATTGCAACAAGTCTTTCCAAAATCGAAATATTTTTTTATTTAGTTTTCTCAAATTCACCAATAATTTGAGGCATTCTGCAGCAAGAGAGAAGTTGATGAAAGATTAGAGCAAAGGATTGTATAAGTGTTGGGGAAGCTCCTGAAGGCTCAACAGTTGGACCAGTGCCACCTTCTCGTAGTACACTCAAAGTGTTGGTAATATAAACATGATTTCTGTTTTCAAAAAAATAAAAACACCATCAAACAGGCAGATATTTAACATTTGGCACTGGCTAGATTCAGTTAAAGGCATAACAACATTTCTTATAGCATTTTGAGATTTTCTAAACAATCATCCCGTTAAAGTCCCGACAATTGGACTCCTGGATTAGCCAGACATTAGTCTAAATCCAATCAATTGGATATCATATGAACCAAAGCACATGTGATGACTTCAGTTCTGAAGTTAATGTTATGTTTAGTTCAACGTAGCATTATGTTGGTTACGTTTCAATGCATTTTAGACCATGGAAGAGTCATATCTGAGTAAAGTACAACATCCCATGTTTGGCCATAGATGTTCGTGTTTTGTTGATCTTGAGTTTGAAATTAAATCTGACATGTTACTTTTGAGTTTCTGTCACATTTTCTCCTATTATAGCCTTTAGAAGCTAATGAGTATTTTCCCCCTGCAGAGGTTTCTGCCCCAGCAGCACAGCCCCCGTGCAGCAGCCTGACTCGAGGCTTCCACCGGGCAGCACTGAGGCTTCAGGATGAATCCAAAGCTGACAAACCCCCCTCCTCCTCACCCAGCTCAACCACCTACCATGAGCACTACCGGGCTCACTCTGCTGAACAGGAGGCAGCAGGAGCCCCCCAGGAACACTCAGCATCTGAGCCAGCAGCTGAGGAGGCCTCCAGGCCGAACACCAGGTTAGTCTGTACAGAACGCTCTCAATCTTGAGGCAACCTTTATAATTAAAGGTTATAATGTTTGTGTTGGTTAAAACAATATTTTGGTGCATGCATTTGGATGTATTAATTCATTTTCTCATTCCAGAGGTTTGCAGTCTGAGCCAAAAAAATACGATATAAAAATAAATTTGTATTTCAAACAATCAGAAGGCAATCAAAGATATTGAGACATTTTGAGACACCCACAGTACACGGTACACAACACATCACTGGCCGGCAATGCTAATAGAGTACAAAGATTTGATAGGGAAAAAACCTTTGTTAGAATGAGGGCGAAGACACAAAACAGTAATTAAAAAAATACACGCTCCATATCGCCAAGCCCCAAGCAATCTCATTTTTCAGCCCAGATGGTTGAATCAGAGCAGCTCTTATGTTTAGTGAGAGCAACAAGTCAGTGAATGCCGTCTCTGCAGAGCTCTGTGTTTGGTGAAACAGAGATCAAAAGAGACAATCAACACACTAAATAATTGTTATATGATGTGTATGAATTTCTTATCCTGATATTGTTCGGTCAAAGCAGAATTGCCCCATCGCATGCATCCAAATATCTACTTGTCATGACCTCAGAAAACCTCCCCCTCTGTTCTTCATTCCTACTGACACGTGCCTCTTTCTGTGTGTGTGGACAGCTACCAGGTTCAGAGTGGAGAGCAGGGCGAGGAGTATGAGACAGAGGAGCAGCTTCAGGCTCGCATCCTGACCGCTGCCCTGGAGTTCATCCCTCTGCACGGCTGGACAGTGGAGGCCATCGCAGCTGGGGCTGAGGTGAGTGGAGCAGCTGCACTGCTAACGCGCACACACACACACACACACACACACACACACACACACACACACACACACACACACACACACACACACACACACACACACACACACACACACACTGCCCCCTCCCTACATATTCAATGACTGACTTTGATGAGTGAGTAAGTGACCTCAGCTCTTATTTATACAACTGTCCAAAGGCTACATTTTTTTTTTAGCATACTCATATTTATTTCTATTATTTTAAAATCGAAATAACGGTCTATAGTATATTCATATGTATTCTGTTTATATTTGCTGTATTATACTGTTTATTTGTATACCTGATCTATATATACCTTTTTATCTCTATAGTAAATTCAATTTCTACACTGCTGTTTATCATGTTTATACCTCCTTGTAGTGTTCATAGTGTCAATACTGTCAGATGTGTATATTTATATTATACTGCAAATAACACTCCACTAGTTGTTTAACACTTCTAGTTAGATGCTAACTACATTTCGTTGTCCTAGTACCTGTACTCTGTGCAATGACAATAAAGTAGAATCTAATCTAACAGGCAGAGCCCACGTTTCGCATTGGCTCCCTTTTGGTAGTCAATGTTGTGTCTCTTCTTGACCTGCTTTTTGTTTTTATACACACACATGGTTATTTTCCTGCTGTATGATGCATTATGTGTGTGTTGTGTTGGTACCAGATGCTGGGCCTGTCCTCTGCTTCCACTGGGATGTTCTATAACGGAGCTGGAGACCTGGTGCTGCACTTTGTCTCTCAGTGTAACTCCCAGCTGACAGATATCCTAGCTGAACAACACAACCAGGTCCAGCTGGGCCAGGCCGAGTACGTTAACACACACATTTGTACATCTACATGTTTTCATAAGCTGTAAATATATGTGATCTCTGTTCTGTATCTTTGACTGATTGACCTGAATGTTTTATGTGTATTATCTCGATGCCCAAGACAAATTTCTCCTAAGGGAAAGCTCTATCTTAATCTTAAATAAACTTATTTCAGCTTTTGTCTTTGAAACTGTGTTGCAGACCTAAGAAGACTGCTGAGTTTCTGAGAGATGCTGTGGAGACCAGACTCAGGATGTACATCCCTTACATTGAAACCTGGCCACAGGTACACTGTTAGAACCTCTGTTTCTTCTTCCATGTTTGTATTCTTATTACTAGCAGAGGTCAGAGTGGTACCTAAAAGCGTGATTAATGTGTTTTATAATGAGGTATGTTGAGAGTTTCCAAGGCTCTTTTTACCTGGCTAGATCACAATGGAAGCGTATTCTGCAGACATTACCTGCTGCCCTCCAGGTTATGTACAGAAATTCAGATTGAAAACACTGTTCATTAACTATCTCTAATAGCAGCATCACTTTTCAGTATAATCAATCTATGAAATACTGGGTCTGGGCTGAGGGATACTTTAAATACTGGTCAACATGCTGAGGTCCAACGTTAAATAATGTCACAGATAGAAGCTGTACAGTTACAGGTGTCATCACACTGTGTGCATCTTAGCGTTTTTTTCTTATTGTTGTTGCAGCAACCTTGTCTCAGTGCAGCAGAAAGGTTAGGTTCTTAGGTAAGCTACATAGTACGATAGTATGGCTTTATTACTTCCCTCCAATTTAGTTTTGTGATTTTCTAGTGTCATCCATTTGCCCACATTAGCTCTGCAACAAGACTCTTAAAAATGTGCTTGTTGCATGCAGTTGCGTAGCCACCATACCTATGGAATGCCATTTAAGCCAAAATTAAATAAATAAATAAATAAATACTTAAATAATTAAATAAATACATATATTTATATATATATATATATATACACACACATACACACACATACATGAAAATAAATTATGAAACCCTAGGGTTTTCGGACCCCCCCAGACCCCCCCAATAAAGCAAAACTGCACGTTTCAGAGTGGCCTTTTATTGTGGCCAGCCTAAGGCACACCTGTGCAATAATCATGCTGTCAAATCAGCATCTTGATATGCCACACCTGTGAGGTGGGATGGATTATCTCGGCAAAGGAGAAGTGCTCACTATCACAGATTTTTTCAGATTTGTGAACAATATTTGAGAGAAATGGTTATTTTGTGTATATAGGAAATGTTTTAGATCTTTGAGTTCATCTCATGAAAAATGGGAGCAAAAACAAAAGTGTTGCATTTATATTTTTGTTCAGTGTAGCATCTGCCTTAACAAATTGGCTTTTATATATATAATTACAGAAAAAGAGTATTTTTGTGAACAAATATACTTTTTGACTGATAGGCAGGAAACTTGGCAAAGGATCGTAGTTGGTTTTTAGGAGATTTGTTGATAAACTAAAAATATAATACCACCACTGTTATTATCAAAGTTCTTCCGTCTAAGCCTTGAAAACAAAGCAATACAACACAGGGGAAATAGTCTCCATGTTGTCTCGTGTGCTGTAATATTCTGCAGGTCCAGAGCTCATCCTTTAACCTTTACACTGCCTATAAAGTTCAATAGAAAAACACAAAGGCTAAAGCCCCAAACATCATTCTTCCTTTTGAAAGCAAGCTGCATGTGTGCGTGTGATGGTGCCTTTGCAGTCATGCATTCATAAATCCATGATCACATCTGTGTACATGGGGGGTGCTCCACTGTACATCTGCACCTGCCTGCATGTTGAGTCTGTATGTGTCTGAACCTGTGCGTCCATAACTGTTTCTTTGAACAAAGGAGCAATCTCAAAGTGGGGCGATTTCATGCCTATCAAGCTCCGAACTCTAAAAGTGGCTTGGGAGGGGGGGGTGAGAA